TTCTTCCAGATTATGTTCTACATCTATGGCAAATTTCATGGTGATCCGTTGAAACGTTCTGGAGATATCTTTTAACAATCATCTATTTATCCAACTTTACATAAACACATTTGCATATTAGTTAAACAATACTGTATTCATAATTATTAAATGAATTATAGCTTCATGATAGAATCCATTCTATAGCAACAGTGAAAATACCAACCGGCTCGTTACGGGCTCCAGAGCCGGTGACATAATAAATGTCAACGAGATCAAAATACTGTGGGCGAGCTGCGAGCTTCGAGCAGCGCAATGCAAAGGGGCTTACCGATGCCTCTAATTATATCTAACGGTCTCTGTGCCGTTTACACTGAACACATTAAAATTAACTACCCCGCGTTTGATCTTTCCATTAGAGCATGACTATAAATATGGACGTAATAAAAAGACAACGCGCTGACTCAATCTCGCGCCTTTAAAAAGGAATTTATTTGAAACAATGTAACGCGCTTTGAAATACTCTTTGAATCTGAACGTATTAAATCAAAACTGAAGGATGAGTGTTTTCTTAAGACATAACTTCATTGTTTGTGACATCGGTATTTTGTGGTCGATTGAAATATTCGACCGAGCGAAATACGAGCTTTAAGAATAGTCTTAATAAATTGGACATAGAATTGCGAGCGTCGCGAAAGCTCGAACGTCGCGAAACAAAAAGCTGACACGGGTCTTCGTTTGTTTGCTTCGAGATAAAAGTCGCGAGCGCGGCATTGTTCTGCAAATGGTGTGCAAAAACAAAAGAGGGGAGGGCGCGGTGCTCGCTCCGAGCGACTCCGTCCATAATTAATTACGCCGCTTCGCAGAAATCGGTCGACAGGCAAACACACGGGCACCGGCAAAATGCCATTTTATCACTTGCAGACGTATTCATAAATAAATTTTAATATCAATAACGCCGTGATTCGCGCGGCCGCTGACGGAAACGTCTCACTCTCGACTGCGAACACGACAGATCACCTCAATTAAGCGTTGTACTAAAATATTTGACGTCAAAAACCGTAAGACTCTTCGACTATAAAATCCGAAAATATTTTATTGAGCACTTTTAACAAGTGGTTTAACCAATGTAAATTTATTTATTACAATAACAGTTTTTAAATACAGGTCTGGCTGTATACTGTAGTTAAAAAAAATCTTTTGCCTTTAACGTATATTTCTACATCAAAATAATTTGCTAACTATAAGCAATTTCATAAATAAATTTCTCATCCAACAAAGAATCTACATATCAAAACAATCTACTAGAACATAACTTGGAAGACTTGCTCGGTAAAGCTAAGCTCAAACATTCTCTTCTAGTACCCAACTATTCAGTCTATACCACAATATGCTCATAGTATAAAAGTAATTGAGTCAATAAAACAGCAAGGGTAATAGCGGACTATATCGGAGACTCAATAGATATCCTGGTCCTTAATAACGCCGTTCAGTCTATCGGTGGGAGCTTATGCTGTAAGCCAACGGATATAGCTAAGTTTTCCACCGTCCTGCAAGAAAATAAAATAAAATTCAGCTCTTTATAGCATTGGGTGCTTCTATATTGTATCGCTATGAGCTTCGAAAATGGCGATAGTTTTTAAAATATTGAAGGTTACATGAATTTTTAAATATTTTTGGCATTATAGAAAAAGCATTTTAAAATTCTTAACAGTATTAACGACTACTTTAGGTTATTTATACTTGTTTAACGTTAATCTTGAAGGAAATACATTAATGGTTTTCGGCAAAATAATTTCCAAAGAATACGAAACATAAAAGGAGAAACATCATTTAGTGTAAAAAAGTAGCATCTGTTTTTATTTCAATTGACAAATTAAATATCTTATTGGAATTAAGCATTGTTACTAAACGATTATATATAGTCATTGTAGGAGTTTATTTTTTTAATTCCCAAGAGAAACCTGGTCAGTCACAAACTCGTTAAGGTATAAAAATCGAGCAGCAACTTTGCGACGGTTATAAAAGGCAAATTAAATAGCTCTAAATGACCACTAAACGATCTTAAATGCGTACTTGTTACATTCATATCCGTTTTTGGCACACGCTATTCAATCCACATTTAACACGTTCTAAGCCACTATAAAAAAGTGTTTAAATTTTCTAAACCAGAACGTTGTCTGATTCAACTGTTTTTTATATTGATCCTATCTAAGACTTTGTGTTGAATATTTTTTGCCACAGTCACGTTTTAAATACCTAACGCGATATGCGAACAGAATATTCATATAACGTTTATTACATTGGTATGAAAAGATCTAAACAGATAAGGTAGCGTTCAAGTTGTAAGCTAAGCAACTTAGTTTGATTGTAGGTACATTAATTGAACCACTAAGTATTTGTTAAATCCGAAATACCACTTAATTATTATCTATTTATTTTCAATGTATATTATTATACAATACAATACGATTTTTATAAATTACTAGCTGTCGCCCGCGACTCCGTCCGCGTGGATATATAAAAAAACTTAATAAGTGTAGCCTATGTGTTCTTTCAGACTATATTGTATACGTGTGCCAAATTTAATAGAGATCTGTTCAGCCGTTCTAGAGATATCTTCAATCACCCATCCATCCATCTACATCACATCCATCTAAAAATTCGCATTTATAATATCAGAAAGTTAAGTAAAAAGCAGCTCTTCAAAGCATAAATTCGAAAAAAATTAATAAATAGTACCCTATGTCCGTCTCCTGGCTCTAAGCTACGTCACCAATTTTCAGCCGTATCGGTAAAGCCGTTCTTGAGTTATAAATAGTTTAACTGACACGACTTTCTTTTATATATATATAAAATTTATAGATTTTTTGATTTAAGAACATAATAATTTATTACCTTACTTTTTAGTCTACTTATCAATCTTTGTAGACGAAACCCACGTATCTTAAGATAAGTATCAGACTATTAACAATTTAACTGTTAGGAGATTAATCACATTGGCACAATAGGTGTCAGGATAGCGTATAGGGGATCGTAAAGGCAGGTTTGAGAGGTAACACCGCCAAAATGTTTGACATAATAGCGCCGCGTACGTTGCAAATGCCTCACTACTCCGCGTTACAGACGAGAGATAAGTTTAATAGCTTTTAAACTTCCGCTTAATATTTTCCAAGAATACAATAGCTCTAGCTGAAAATATTATCTTTGTATTGTTGTGTTGTTTTATTTGTTTCACTGTGGAACTTGTTTATTTTTCTGTTATCTTTCTATTTGTCGTTAACTCCTATTTATCCCTCTGACCGTGGGTTTCTGAAACCAAAATCTTATTTTTGTCAAAGATGAAAGACAGGAATGATGATGTGTTTTGTACAGAGATTTTGATGTCAGAAACCCACGGTGAGGCGCTCAGCGTTTCTCAACTTGTGACTAAACCTTCAGTCACGCTGGTAAAGGTCGGGTTGGTTGACGTCACACTTTTTTTTTTACATGTGAACAGTACAGGCTCTGGTGGGATGGTCTCCTTCATTGTAAGAACTTTGAATAAGTTTACATTGAAATATAAAAAGCTAAAATACATTGGTACATGTCGGAAATCGAACCGGGTTAAATATTTTGGTCAAGTCCGGTCAAGTGCTTAGCTGCGCCAACGACGTCTCCTTTTTAATGTTACAAAAATTATACTATGAACAACTTTCGGCCGCGCGAAATTAAAAAAATCCTTGATATGTAGCCTATGTATACTTTCAGACTATCTTCTATATTTATACCAAATTTCATAGAGATCCGTCCAGCCTTTCTGGAAATACCTTCAAACAAACATCCATCCAGCCATCCATCGAAACATTAGCATTTGTAATATTAGTAAGATATACACAACATTAACAAAATATTACTCATTGAGAAAAATTGTTCCAAACGTTATATTCGAAATTCAAATCTTTTTTCTTTTTCTATTTAAATTATTTCGATATCAATAACTCATTCTAACGGCTAATTAAGATACGAGTAAGCTGACAGATGCAAAATAAGATACATATTTCTATAGGTACATTGTCATATACAATGAACATTTTACCACACAGTATCATAATAGGGTCTAAGGTGTAGGGGGATGTAAACATATATTATGCATGTCAGTGGGGTCGTCGGACGACGCCCGCAACAACTCAATTATACGCACCTAAAATAACAGCCGTCGAGTGCCGTGGGTGGTCCAACCGGAATAGACAGGACGCCTAAAACGGTTGTAATAAGCACATCGGCATGTTTTATGGCGGATGAAGAAGTTACTGCCAACTTTTATAGATTACCCCCAGGTACGGATAGCCTTCGCCTAGCTCTTTTATCTGATCTAAGAATAGAATCGGAATTATTTGTTCATAGTAATACTTAAGATAATTAACTAATTCAAAATATTGCGATAATCAGTATTCTTTATTTTTATTACAACATAACTTTTAATTTGCACAAAATTTGATTATCTGTCGCCCGCGACTCCGTCCGCGCGGGATTAAAAATAGATGTCGGCCGATTCTCAGACCTATTCAATATGCTCACAAAATTTTATGAGAATCGGTCAAGCCGTTTCGGAGGAGTATGGGAACGAAAATTGTGACACGAGAATTTTATATATAAGATAAAAAACCGTAAACTTTATTTATTCATATTCGTATCTTACAAAAACTGGATAGATTGTTTTACAAAAGAAACAAACATAAAAGCAAAGTAAGTAAATAATGACTAATTCTTGTCGACAAAGACAGACTTTATAAACAACAAACGCAAAATAAATAAATGCTTGTTAAAAGAAATATCATCATACAGAGTAAACGAAAATTCTCGTTTACAAAAACAAAACACTGATGAACCCTAAGAAGCAATCTTAAAAAGTAAAAGTGTTTTACCTGTACCAAAACTGTTACAGTATGAATATGTTGTTTTACACTGATTATTTGTCACTGATTGATAAGGATCTATAATTCAAAATCACATCCTCCAAAGTGCCCCTCAAACGCCTCCTATCTATCCTGATCACTAACACATACCTCTTCACTTGGTGGTTCCGTTAGCACATCAGCGGCCACAGGGGCCACAGGTGCAACACAACGTACTTCAGCAACAAAGTTGCTCTTCTTCTTCTTCTTCTTATTCTTCTGCGTATTCTTCTGCGTATTCTCCTTCTGTCTCCTTCTGTCTCCGTCTGTCTCCTTCTGTCTCCTTCTGTCTTCTTCTGTCTCCTTCTTCTGCGTATTCTTCTGCGTATTCTTCTTCTGTCTCCTTCTTCTTATTCTTCTGCGTATTCTTCTCCTGTCTCCTTCTGTCTCCTGTCTCCTTCTTCTTATTCTTCTGCGTATTCTTCTTCTGTCTCTTTCTGTCTCCTTCTTCTGCGTATTCTTCTGCATATTCTTCTGCGTATTCTTCTGCGTATTCTTCTTCTGTCTCCTTCTGTCTCCTGTCTCCTTCTTATTCTTCTGCGTATTCTTCTTCTTATTCTTCTGCGTATTCTTCTACGTATTCTTCTGCGTATTCTTCTTCGTATTCTTCTGCATACTCTTCTGCATATTCTTCTGCGTATTCTTCTGCGTATTCTTCTTCTGTCTCCGTCTGTCTCCTTCTGTCTCCTTCTGTCTCCTTCTGTCTTCTTCTGTCTCCTTCTTCTGCGTATTCTTCTGCGTTTTCTTCTGCGTATTCTTCTGCGTATTCTTCTGCGTATTCTTCTTCTGTCTCCTTCTGTCTCCTTCTTCTTATTCTTCTGCGTATTCTTCTGCGTATTCTTCTCCTGTCTCCTTCTGTCTCCTGTCTCCTTCTTCTTATTCTTCTGCGTATTCTTCTGCGTATTCTTCTGCGTATTCTTCTTCTGTCTCCTTCTGTCTCCTGTCTCCTTCTTCTTATTCTTCTGCGTCTTCTTCTTCTGCGTATTCTTCTGCGTATTCTTCTGCGTATTCTTCTACGTATTCTTCTGCGTATTCTTCTGCGTATTCTTCTGCGTACTCTTCTGCATATTCTTCTGCGTATTCTTCTGCATATTCTTCTGCGTATTCTTCTACGTATTCTTCTTCTGTCTCCTTCTGTCTCCTTCTGTCTCCTTCTGTCTCCTTCTGTCTCCTTCTGTCTCCTTCTGTCTCCTTGCCTCCTTCTTCTTATTCTTCTGCGTATTCTTCTGCGTATTCTTCTGCGTATTCTTCTGCGTATTTTTCTGCGTATTCTTCTGCGTATTCTTCTTCTGTCTCCTTCTGTCTCCTTCTTCTGCGTATTCTTCTGCGTATTCTTCTGCGTTTTCTTCTGCGTATTCTTCTGCGTATTCTTCTGCGTATTCTTCTTCTGTCTCCGTCTGTCTCCTTCTGTCTCCTTCTGTCTCCTTCTTCTTATTCTTCTGCGTATTCTTCTGCGTATTCTTCTTCTGTCTCCTTCTGTCTCCTGTCTCCTTCTTCTTATTCTTCTGCATATTCGTCTGCGTATTCTTCTTCTGTCTCCTTCTGTCTCCTTCTTCTTATTCTTCTGCGTATTCTTCTGCGTATTCTTCTTCTGTCTCCTTCTGTCTCCTTCTTCTTATTCTTCTGCGTATTCTTCTTCTGTCTCCGTCTGTCTCCTTCTGTCTCCTTCTGCCTCCTTCTGTCTCCTTCTATCTCCTTCTGTCTCCTTCTGTCTCCTTCTTCTGCGTATTCTTCTGCGTATTCTTCTGCGTATTCTTCTTCGTATTCTTCTGCGTATTCTTCTGCATATTCTTCTGCGTATTCTTCTGCGTATTCTTCTGCGTATTCTTCTGCGTATTCTTCTTCTGTCTCCTTCTGTCTTCTGTCTCCTTCTTCTTATTCTTCTGCGTATTCTTCTGCATATTCTTCTGCGTATTCTTCTGCGTATTCTTCTGCGTATTCTTCTGCGTGTTCTTCTGTCTCCTTCTGTCTCCGTCTGTCTCTTTCTGTCTCCTTCTGTCTTCTTCTGTCTCCTTCTGTCTCCTTCTTCTTATTCTTCTGCGTGTTCTTCTGCGTATTCTTCTGCGTATTCTTCTTCTTAGTCTTCTGCGTATTCTTCTGCATATTCTTCTGCGTATTCTTCTGCGCATTCTTCTGCGTATTCTTCTGCGTATTCTTATGCGTATTCTTCTGCGCATTCTTCTGCGTATTCTTCTGCGTATTCTTCTTCGTATTCTTCTGCGTATTGTTCTGCGTATTCTTCTGCGTATTCTTCTGCGTATTCTTCTTCGTATTCTTCTGCGTATTGTTCTGCGTATTGTTCTGCGTATTCTTCTGCGTATTCTTCTTCTTCTTCTGTCTCCTTCTGTCCCCTTCTTCTTATTCTTCTGCGTATTCTTCTGCGTATTCTTCTGCGTATTCTCCTGCGTATTCTTCTTCGTATTCTTCTGCGTATTCTTCTGCGTATTTTCTTCGTATTCTTCTGCGTATTCTTCTGCGTATTCTTCTTTATCATCATCATCATCATAATCATCATCATCATCATTATTATTATTATTAATTATTATACTTCTTAGAAGGCTTGGTATATTGAACTCCAAATCTCATGTATTATAAGGAAATACTCATTTAGCTATCACGACAATTATAGAATTATTTATCTGGATAGTTGAATGTTGTGTGTATTTGTTTGTTATTGGCCAGTAAGGCCAATTAAAAACAAACAAATTAACGGTTCTCTTTAGTAATAATAAAATGAGTAGGCGATCGCAGGAGTGGTTGTCGCTGAGAGGATTTATACGCCAGTGATTCATTCTGCCGTTGACAGTTATAGTCCCGGAGTCAGATATTGCACTTTTGCGCCGCATTCCCGCTCCTGAATTATGTGTTATAATAACCGAAGAGCCTCGCAGCCTTTGCTGATGTTATGCAACATCGATGAACTATCACCATTGTCCATGGTACGCTACCTAAATTAGTAACTTTACAAATTTGTCTGAATTTATAAATTACCATAGCCTTTTTAAAATGATTACGAGCGAAGTAATATTTGTTAAAACTAGAATTTTTGGACTGTATTCTTCCACTTTTATATTAGAAAATATAATAGAAGTATCAAATCTTATTAACTATATTGGATTTTAAAAGTGCTTGTAACGGGTCATATAGGGACAATCAAATCCTGACAAAAAAAAAATTGAGAAGAAAAGACAAAATTTTGCAAACATTTTAAAAGTCATTGTATTAGTCTTTGACTTCAATTAAGTAGTCACATTCTCTCAGTAGGATTAACTCATACCTAAAATGTGGGTGGTAATAGTAGGATATATCCTAAGCAGTATTTTCCGAATAACAATCCCTGTACTTAACAATGAATTTACTGACTCAATCTCGGCTTACCAGTTACCAATTCTAAGTAAACTCGTCTAAATTATGTGTTGCACTAAATCCTAACAATAGGCTTGACTAAGTTATAATAGCGATCGCACAGCCAAAGATAATTAGGTGATAGAGACAAAGTAACGTTTTCCAATCAAAGTCATTGACAAGAAATTATTTTGGAAATACCACATGAGATTTTATAACGTTCACAAATCTCAAAACTGTTTTTGAAGGCTATGGGTTTACTTTTAAGAAAAACATCAAATGTGTAGTATCATTCCAACGTTCACGCTATTCAATGCTTTAAATGATACTTTAAAGCCACTTCATGAGTATGTTTCGAAAAGGGGCTATATCGATGATTGAATTCATTAGAACTTTATAAAAATAAATATACTTTTTATGGCGAGATTTTTATATTTTGTGTTCTGTACAAAAAACGTCATAGCATCTTTATTTAAAGTTACACTTTGTTTAATCCCTAATATATTTATAGGTTGTTATCTCATCCTAAAGAAACCTATATCCATATATTTCTATAGTTTGGATACATTTAAATATTCAATAGTTATTAGAGTACCGGATATCAGTGCAAGACATAAATAGACATCGGAATTTGGTCAATTTTGTAGATTGCTTAAGCTGTCAATAGGTTAATTATTTGGTCGTTGAATTATTATATACAACACAATCAAACCTGTTTTAATCATTCCATCACTATGAAATGTTAAACTATAAATCATAAATAAATAACTACAGTATGAAAGTAAAACATATCGAACAATTTCGAATATGAGGCTAAGATTTGCGGTTATTAAAAAGATAAAATAAAAGACTGTGGAGACATTTTGCCGCTCATTGAAGTTGCAAAGACGTCATTAAGGTACAAAGAAAAGATAAAATACATTATCTTTAGATTAATGTTAAATTTAAATCCATTGAGAAAAAAAGAAATGTCACAAGAACTATTCGATGTAAAAGCGGTCGTAACTTCTAAATGGACCCTTAGCATTTAAACGTTCCGTTTGTTAAAGTAAACACCAACAAATGCAAAAAAGAGTCGATGCATTTACAACAAAGTCTCATCTTTACTTCACGACACAGATAATAAACATTATTTACGGCCGTTGGCTGTTTTTATATTTATATATATACCATTTAGTTGCTATGTTAGTGCCATAAAAAGTTGACCGTAAACTATGGTATCGGACATTTCTGGGACTGATCGCTCTTCTTCGCTATATTTATAGCTATTTGATTTATTTTGTTATCTCTTTATTGCTCAACTAACGACAACCATTCTACTCCAAAGATTAATCACTCACGTCAACGTGATTTAGCAGAGCGACCGATATTTAATGTACGCTATTCAGATAGGATAATGATCCCTGTTTATATTTAGACGATCCTTAAAGCGGTTAAATGTCCAATCAACAGCCCGCTCCGAGGCGTAAAATGATTCCGAATAATTGTGTCATTCGATGTTGTTACGTTAAGAGACGTTACCTTGGAATATGTTTAGATGACGCGATAGCTTACTTCTTGTGTGGTCCACGTAATGTTTACGTTCCTAATAAAAATCTGTATTCAAACCAAAAATCACTTGTAGATTACTTTTTTATAGACAACATCAATTGAGTTACACTAAAATGTTGAAATGTATACCAGATTTAATGTCCGAAGAATATAAAATACGCAATAAGTAAGAAAATGGCGAAAACATTCTGGTTATAAATACAAAGCGTGAGAATTAATTGTCTAAAGAAATAAAAAAAAAAACATACCCTTAGCTTACATATACTACAGGTATTAAAATATGCAATTACGTTTAACTAAAGTTGCAACTAATTTGGATAAAATGAGATTAAACAATTAGTGACCTACCTCTAATAAAACTTTTAACGCGGAGTATTACACTCTAGAGAGATATTTTCTCTTTACTAGCTTTACAGTAGCGTGAATAGTGTATTGAGTTACCGAGACGTTCGGTAAAATCGATTTCATGTAAGTCCTCAACTCGCCGGCCACCGTAACCGAAGCGAAAGTATTTATGGGAAGTTTCATCGGCAAACACTTTGTACATGCAGTAGCTACCGCCCACGAGTAGCAGCTGTTTGTATATCGTTCAAGAATTTTCTAACTTCATATACTCGTAACGAAAACGTAGAAAGTAAAAGTGTGTTTCAATTGTTAACTGAGAAAACACGCGACCAACTAGGTCATATTTACTTTCTTAAATCGATTTTGGTGCTTCTATTTGTGAGGTTTAGGAGAGCATGATGCTGACATGAAAAAGCTTATTAACGGGATCTGAATTTTAAAATGGACATGACTTTTAGTAACACAAAGATGAAATGTCTTTCTATTTACATAGATATATATTGTATAACAAACATGTACAGTCAGCTACCTTAATATGTGTATATTTTCAAAACTTTAGAAAAATGTATAAACCTTTCATTTAAAAAAAATACGTATGCACGTATGCATATATGCTTATTCGGTGGCATTCAGACGGATGCGTACATTAATATACTTGAACCCGAACACATACAAGTTTCTGAAGATTTTTACATGTATACATTTTTATATATCTGACTGTACTACGGACGACATAGCAATATTTTATCGTCATCAAGTTTTATTGCTACACATATATATAATACTACTGTACTATAAATATATGTGAAATGATCAATCTACTTACCATCGTGATGAAGCGATTTTCAATGTAAGCGTTAATTATTTTGTTAAGATGACAACCACATAACAACACGTTCACGTAGAAATCCTTAAATATCGGTACATGACTGTGATTTGCTTATTTTGAGGTTAATGTTTTTTCATACCATTTAAAATACTCATATTTTGAAGACAAAAGTCAATAAGCCGATGAAATTGTTTTTAAAAACGTATTCACCTGTAATAATAAAATCTTACAAACGTGTTTCGAGAAAATCAAGAAAATTTATGTTTAAAAGGTGTATGTTCTTGTCTTTTTAGCGATATTTTACAAGTTTAAACGCCATATTACAGCGTATTACAATCTTGTATACTATACTTTGGACATTGCGTGTTGAAAATAAAAGGCATTAAGAGTCTGCCCACGCGTTTCACTTGGGACAAGTTCGTTGTGAATTTCCAGATCTTG